AAAGTATGAATTTAATTGGTAACTTACATGGGAAAAATTAATCTTTCCATTTTTATTAAAATAGGCCACAGATTACTTTTCACTAATTCTGCAGCACTTAGTATTGTGTCCAGGTGGAATATAAACATGGTACGTTTAGAGCTGTCAGTTGTTGAATTTTATACTTAGGGTTTTCGGAAAATGCTCTGAGCTTGCTGGCTACTAATATTATATATTATACTTAATTACAATTCTTTGGAACAGAAATATAAAAAAAAATAGTTCTCTAAATTTCTTTTTCTTAATAATGGAAGCCTTATTTTGAATATATGTCACCTAATCATTTAATAGGCACTGAAATATGCACTGGTTAAGTAAATCAGTAAGAATCTTTAGGGAGGGCATAGGAAAGCAGTGTAAAATGGAGACAGTTATTCTAAGCCTCCTTCGTTGAAAAAGATTGAGACAAAGCAGTAAGTACCTTGACAGAGTATCAAGACTGGAGAAAATGCATTTTTAAAGTTTGAGGAAGCCTTAGTGTTTCATCACATAGCTTCAAAAAACCTTCCAATTCAAATCCCACCATTAACTAACTGTGTGAACTTGGGCAAGCCCATCTCTCTGACCCTCAGACTTGACACCTATGATAGTGGTGTCTCCTGACTGCAATTAAGAAAACCAAAAGGCTTAACTATTAAAGTAAAAATGTTTTGTAGATTATAAAGCATAATACAAATGAGTGATGTTTATAAAAATCTAAGAATAAATTATAAGGGAAAATAGCAAGGACATACTGTGAGTTTCGTCCTACAAATCAGAAGGGGTCCTTATTATGTGAGAAGGGGAAAAAACTAATCTTTCTGAGGTATGCAGCTGAAAAACACTTCTTTCAACAGGGATACTGTTTTTCAAACTTACTTTGGTTTTCCTTTTATATTTTCTCCCAATCTGCCAATCAGATGCCCCAAAACAAATCCATAGTACTATTACTCTTACATGGACATAGTAAGTTAATAGTATTTAATTTTTTAAATTAGTTCTAAGCTATCACCTGTATGCTCCTTTATGCTTCTAGAGCATTATTACATTCTTGAATAGAATTTACTACTAGGCTGTCAATTCATATACTAATAAGCGTATGTATACACAACCACCACCACTATGCTTATATTTACAATCCTGTGTTAACTAAACACAAATCCCTCATGCATGAACTATTTTGATAATTTTCATTTTTTCCTCTAAGTAATCTTGATTTGCGGCTACAACTATTTGTGTATTGCCAATATTCTAAAATAAATCGAGATTTTGTTTTCACTTTTCTAATCAAGACTATAAAATTTAAGCTTGAAACTATCTCATTTAGCTATAAGTTGAAGGAAAAGCATAAAGGAAAAATAGATACAGCCAGTTAATGCTACTTGTTGTAATTATCACTCCTTTCCTTAGTCCCCTCCATTTTCACTCTGAACACTCATTTCAATTTCTACTGCTAGCTCAATTTCAAGTGATCATCCATCACTAAACACAGTACAGTTTGTACTGGGTATCCAGACCAATGCTAGAGCTACAAAATGGAGTAAGATGACATAGCCTGCTTGCCATGAACTCATAGACTAAAGACCACCTCATCAAAAATGTTCCTAACACCCTAGAGACAGTTACAGATACAGTGCAAATATCAAACCTAATTAACATCAAAACAGAAGCATGTACTCAATATTATACAAACATAAAAGGGGGTGGGGGAATACCTGGCACAGTTAAGGATAATAGTATAGAAAATGAGAAACTAGCTCGGGAAGTGTTTTCAAAAACTCTGATATTTTATTTTTAGGATATCAAGAGTATAGTATGAAATTTATTGTCCTTTGTTGATCTGCATTTTAATCGAAATTGCACTAGACAAAAGTTCAGTTTGAAAAAGTATACTCTTTCAGAAGACCTCAAAACTTCCCCTCATTACCTCAGCACAAATATCTCTACTAACTACTCATACTTCCTTCTGCCCCACTACCCAACTGTTTTAGCTTTGTCTTGGCACTCAATAAAATTTACACATCCAAATATGTGTATACATATATATCCCCTTTACTTTTGAGGAATGTATATGTTATGTAAATGGTATGTTTCTATCTTCCAGATTCTTTATGAATACTTTCCTTTACCCCCACTGACTTGCAGAGTAGATGCTCAATGAACATTTGACTTTTAAAAAACCTTTGGTGACAGAATTACATAGTACATTCATATTAAGTATCTCATAAAAGCTAAATTAAAAACAATTCTTCAGCATTACAACCTACACGTGAAGTGGAAGTATAGTAATTAAGAGCAATCTTTCAACACTATAACCTACATGTGAAACAGCAGAGTATAGTGATTAAGAGCAAACAATTATTCAGTATTGCAACTGACGTGAAGAAGTGATGGGGGTGCAGTGGTTAAGTGCACTGGTACTGAAGACAGCTGCCTGACTTCTAATCTAGGCCTGTCATTTAATTAGCATGTGACCCTGGGCAAGCAATACAACCTGTCAGTGTCTCAATTTTCTCAATTATAAAATAAGGGTATAAATGACCTATCTCCTAGCTCAAGAGTAAGCAAGTTGGTAAAGTGCTCAGAGCAGGACTTGGCACATGAGAAGCCAGGTATCACCATCATCAGAAACCTTGAATATTTTTTAATGAGAAATACAAATGATGATACCTTTCATCTGTGTGCTTCACAGCTATACCTTTTCAGAAGGTGCAGACCAGTAACATAAGGAACCTGAGTGTTAAGAGTTGCACTTTGGGCAGTCACATATTTTTTAATCCTGGCTTTGCCATTATCCAGCTATCAGTGACAACTAAGTAACTACAGACAAGTTATTCTGACTCTCTGCACTTCAGTTTCCTAATTTGTAAAATTTGATGAACCACCTAGATCCCAGAAATGTCCTGAGGACTAAAGAATCAAGGTACCTTAAAACAGGTAGAGTGTCTGTCATACTATTAAGCTAATGTTTGCTCTGTCTTTGGTCCCTCAAATCCCACACAGAAAATCTCATGAATTAATCTCATTAATCCTCATCCCACAATTACGAACTTTACATTAGGTTGAAATGTATGAAAAACAGCCAGTACTGCCAATTTCCTAATGCTTCTACCTCATACTTGTTTCTATTTACAGGTGGAGAAAATAAACTCAGAGAGGATAAATGATGTACTGGAGGCAGTAGGCTTAGTAAATGACACCATAAGTTGTCATTAGACCAGTTTACTAATTTCTTCAGTGAGACCTGCTCATGAGAGAAGAAAAATGTATACTAACCACTATAATATACAAAACTAATGGTGCTGACAAGTTTTTGTTCTGCCACATTAAAAAATAAAAAGGAGTGAATATTTCTAAGAACTTTTCAATTTAAAAAATTATTTGTAGAGCATCTACGTGTATGTTGAGGGAAGATTGTGAGTTTAGAGAAATCATAGCTAAAGAATATTAAAGAAGCATATGTATAACTACATTACTTCACTAATTAGAAACTCCACAAAGCAGGTGAACACCAAACAGAAAGTGGAAGGATAGATGCATTAAACATCACAGAGTAGTTAGTATATTTGCGAAACACAGTGGTTCACAAAACATGCATTAATACAAAACACTGTTATACTTAAAAAAAAAAAAGAAAATGTAAAGACTTTTCTTCTAATAGTAAGAAATACATTATTACACTCAAATCGTTTAAGCGTTAAGGCTTTAGAATCAGCTCACATAAACCATATTCGCAATACAATGTGTATCCAAACATGAGAAGTCTTATCAAAATGCACATTACTAGTAAATAAATAACAAATGTTAACAGAACCAGGCCCCATAAAACAAGTGAAACATTTAACAGTATCAAATATTTACTATGTTGGTCTACAAACCTATTCTGTTTCTTTTTTTCTTCACGTGTCAGTCACCATTTTTAAAAATATATATATATATTCGAGAACGAAATAAGGATAATGAACAGAAACTGGTCTTTCCATAGATTTACAAGCGAACAGTTTGTTTTAATCCTCTTATCGGCCTCTCTTCCAATTATGCAATCATTCCACAGCAAAAGATCACAGGGCTCTTGCGAGACACTGGAAGGAAGGAACCCGGGACAACAGAGGAGGGTACAAAACGCGTGGCCTGGGAACGGGACACATTTCCTCGAATCTGAACTGCCTCCCGGGATCAGGATCAACTCTGCGCTCTCACTGCCCAAGGCCTTACCCTTTAGCCATCGCAGATGCCTTTTACTCCCTGACAACCGGCAACTCTTCACGTGCGGCGGATCCCGGCCGCCGAGCACCACCACTTCTCCGGCATTATTAAGCTGCTTTGGAGCGGGCGGCGGGGGGAACTGTCCACGCCGGGGGACAGTAGTGTCATTAAGACGACGCCGGTGCAGCTCCCCTCACTCAACTCCCCCAAACGCAAGTCAGGCGGAACGGGCCGTGGCTCCGGGCGCCCGCGCTCTCACCGGGTTTCACCGAAACCCCCGCCGTGACCCCTACGGCCGGGGCAGACACGGCTGCCGCTGCGCTCGGCGTCCCGCGCTGCACGGGCGTCAGCTACTTAGGGAGCTCAGTTTCCCCCCTCGGCGACCCCGACTCCGGGCCGCGCTCCCCACCCGGCAAGTAACGAGCTTCAAGTCTTCCCGTCCCGGGCGCTCAGGACTTCGTAGTTAATGAGTAACGCGGCGCAGGAGCCGCCGCCCGACGCCCACCCGCGGCCCAGGGACGCCCAAGCCGCCCCCCGGGGGCCGAGCCCTCAGCCCCGCCGCTGAGGCTCCAGAGCCCGCGAGCCCAGGCACGAAGGCGCTCGCAGGGCCGGGTGTCCGTGCCCCGCCGCGCCTCCCGCCGCGCCGGCACCTGCACCGGCCGTGGCCGCCTCTCCTGGCCGGCTGGTGGAGGCTGGCGGGCGGGCGGGCGAGAGCGCGGCGCCGAAGGGGGCGGTGCTCCACGCCGCGGGCCTCGCCCTCCTGCGGCCACACTCACCTGACTAACCCACCGCGGCTGCTGTCCGCGCTCGGGGGCACTCGCAGAGCCGCGGAGAGCTCGTTCTGAAGCACCGAGAGGCGGAGGGGGACAGCGGACGGGTGCCGCTACACTCCGCCGCGGCGGGCGCACTGCGCGGGGTGCCGCCGAGGGAGAGCGGGACTGCGCCTGCGCCGGGAGCCGGGCTGGGAGCCGGGAGCGGCCATCCCAGGGGAGGGAAGGTGGGCCTGGGGGCGGGGCCTGAGTAGGCGGGAGCGGTGGGGGCGGGGCCGACGCGTTTCCGCGCTCCCTGGCGCTGGGGAGCGCCGGTCACAGGTTCCTCTGAGGGACCCAGGTGCCTCCGCGCGCGGTTTCCCTGGGAACGACCGCGGGCTGCCCCCAGCGAGGTTTCCCGGGCCCCGGAGGCCGCCTGGGGTTGATTTCCAGCTGTTGGATTCGCCAGGAGTGGAAAAAGCCACTTTCATTGTGAGTTGAGGACTGTTAGACCGACCTAAGACTTGACACCCATAGATAACCCTAAAACGTGTTTGTGTGTTGGGGGAGGAGAAGGAGGCTGCTAGAACCCAGATCCCATCATTCTAGCAGTTGCCACAGCGTTTGAGAATGTCGTTTCTGAGCCTGCCTGTCTTTTGTGTGAACTGTTTCACCAAACTTCTATCCCACTTTAAGTCTTCCAGGTGAGAAAAGGCCAAGTGCAGACAGAATCAAGATCTTAAGATCTGACAGAAAAGAAGCAATCAGCACCTGCATCTCTGTGTTTAGTAGAAGAAACATGCAATCTGTGTGATGCACATTGAACAGGACTGCCATTCTGGGTATCGATCACATCTTAGAGGCAGTAAGGGAAAGCAGGTTATGTGCGTAGCTTTTGGAATCTGCTACCTACTACCTCTGTGGTCTTGGGCAAGTTAATCTCTAATAATCCCCATTTTCTCAATAATAAGTGGGAATAATAAGAATAGTGTACCTTAGCCAGACATGGTGGTACAGGCCTGTAATTCCAGCCTTAGACAGGCAGAGGCAGGAGGATCATGTGTTCGAAGCCAACCTGGGTACCTAGTGAGACTCTCTCAAAAAGCTACAAAATAAATCTACCTTACTGAATTGTTGAGTCTAAATGCTGTAACACCTGCAGTACAGTGTAGTGCACAACAACAGAGTGCCCAGTGAATGAATGATATTGTAAATAACATTGCTATTGTCACCTACCCATAATATAACAGAAACCATTTTTATTCCTTTATATCCTATCTCCAATTCCTATCCATCCTGATTCCCAAAGAATTCTGAAAATCTGTCTTGTCTCATTTATTGCCTAAAGGATATGACCTTTCTCATTAATGGACTCCAACTCTTCTCCCTTATACCATCTAGTTGGTCATTCATTCATCAAACATTTCTTGCGCTCTTATCTATGTGTTACAAACAGTCCCCACCATCCAAGGAATCAAACGCAGGGAGACAAGTAGCTAAATAAGTGAAATGAATAAACTCAACATACAGCAAACGGCTTGCTTCCCAGTCTTGCTATACTCCATACATCCCTGCCTTTAAATAGTTTCTTTTTTGTGAATTTACATCCTGATCCCCCATCTTTTCTTTACATAACTAATTCGTGGCTTCCTTAAGCAATTCATGCTTCAATTTCATTGTGAACCTTTACCTGTTACTTGCCACCTGGCCCTGTCAATGTCCCTACCTGTGATGGCATAACACCTTATCTCTTTCTAGCAGTTTCCACATGAATTGTAATTGTAGTTTTATTTCTCTGTTTTCCTAATTAGACTATGGGCTTCTCTTAGAATAAGCACAAGGGCTAACATGCAGTAGGACTCAATAAATGCAGAATGAGTGAACGGCACACATGGAGAATGCACTCTCTCGGTATATGAATATTTAGAGAATAGGCCCTATGATACATTCTACGTAAAGACCTAAGACATTATTGATTTATGGTAAATAACAATAATCATACGCCCAAATCATACAGCAGTTCATTTGCAAATCACCTAACCATCTGCACGGCTCTTTGGGGTGTACTTAGAGGTGTCTCCCCATGGATACTTAAACTGCTAGTACAGTTTGAGAATAAGGAGAGTAATACAGATAGTTACCTATGATAACACTTCAGTCTTGCAAAGTAGAGACCAAAATACATTATAGAATCTCAGCCTGTAATGTACATAAAGTGTTGTGAGCATCCCAGATTAGATTCCTTACCCATGTAGCAAAAGAACAGACACTTTACAACTGTAAAAACATGAAAGGTTTTGTAATGTGATCATTTGCCTTCATTCTCTTTCATTAAAATATGAATTATACAGTTAATATCAAATACAACATATAAGACGATACTGAATTTTTTAATCTTAAGACTTTCCTATTTATACCCACAGCCATAAAACAAAGGGTATAATTACAAATAATTTTTCATTTTTATTAGGACATATTCGTTGTACAGGGAGTTTCATTGTGACAATTCCAAACAGGCTTACATTGTACATTGCTTAGATTCCCTCCATGATCTCTTCCCTTCAACACCCCCTCCCCACTCCACTTAAAGCAATTACAAATAAATTTTAAATTGAGCAAATCATTCTATAGTTGTTACCCTTAGTTGTACCTTTTGTCACTTGTTTGCTTCTATTTTGTTTTTAAAGTTAAGAAAACTGTAAATTGCATGGTACTGTCTAGTTTTAAACTGACTTCACGTTAATTATTTTGAGTTCTTTAGAGAAAAAGTTAGACACAGGTGAAAAGGCAGTTAATTTTTTGTCTTTGCAGATGGAGCACTTAAGCCACCACAGTTAGAACCCTGGTCTTTAAATGCAGGTTAATAATGTACAAACCAATGAATTTCAAACCTTTTAAAAGCATATTGGACTTCCATGCCCAGTAGTATGGCATACTAGAGACTGGCAGATTCTTCCACTAAAAGCAATGTAAAATGCTGTGTAAGGAATACAAAACATCAGACACATCAATAGGCTGACAAGAACATAAGAAACCTTAAGGACAAAAGTTAGGTCAAAGTGAGAACCCAGATGGAAATAATAGCAATGTAAAAATGAAAATAATGGCTAAGGGGGGAATGTGCCAATAATCTATCATTTTCTTGTGTGGCAGAACAGTTACTTACAGGCTAGTGCTTGTGTTCCTATAAAAGTTTGCTTTTGCTGCTCCTGTACACAAACAGAGCTAAGGGTTGGCTAGTGCTTGTGTTCCTATAAAAGTTTGCTTTTGCTGCTCCTGTACACAAACAGAGCTAAGGGTTGGAGGTGTAACTTAGCATACTCAAGGGAGTCATTCAATCCCCAACACCAAAAGAAAAAAAAAAGCAGAGCTATCTCTATCTCTACAGTGTCTCTTATTAAGCCAATTTTAGACAACTCTGCATTTTAGGTCCCTTTTCTGATGTTTAGTAGAAGCAACATTGGTTGGAAAAGATTGCAGGGACAGAAATAGGGGGATAAGAGCCTTAGACTCTGAAATGTATAGTTCCCTTTTTAAAAAAAAAATCACTTTAACAAGCTTCACTTATATAAAAAAAAGTTTTGAGACTTGACTTCATATCTAGCTTACCATGCACACATGAACTGCCATCCATTAAGTAAATAAGTGTTTACTGCCTCTCTGTGCCAATATGTAAATCATGTGCACTAAGTGGGGGGAGAAAGAGAGATGAGACATGGTGAGAGGACTTCTTGCTGCAGGCCCAGGTTCAAGTCTATTACTGAGGCTCCTTTCATTCCTTCCCATGGTTCCATGAGTTACAGGCTTAAAATAATTCCCCATTTTTGCTTAATATAGCTTTGAATGGATTCCTGTTACTGTCCACCAGAATAGTATCCTAAACAATATATTTTTATGGAAGGATTGATTTCTGTAATAGTTAAAAACCTCAAAGTAACTCAGCTTAAACAAAATCAAATGCAAGTACAGGTAGTACAGGATTGGTTTGGCCACTTTCTGATAAGCAGGAACTCCTGTCATATGGCTTCACCATCCAAACATGCAACTTCTACTTTATGATCAGTTATAGTTGCTAAAGCTCTAGCCATCACATCCATTTTCCAGCCAGCAAAAAAATAAATAATAATCATAGGTGGGAAAAAGAATATACCCTTCTATTTAAGAACATTTGCAGAAGTTGTATACTTACCTATACTTAAACCCTATTGATCAAGTACAGTCTACTGGGTAGCCATGTTCTAAAAAGAAATAGAGAAGAGATATTAGGGATAAGGGCAGTCTCTGGCTCAACATCTGAGATGAGACTTATGATGACTGAAATGGTGGTGAGCTGAACATACATATAGAGCAAAGGCAATGTTAGGAAGGCACGCGGTGAGATCTGTGATGAGCAGTTCAGATAAGTTGGCACGTGGAACAAGGGCAGGTGGACAGATACACCTGGAAAGATATGCAGAGAGACCATGGGCAGATCACACTCGACACGATGGCTACTGTGGACTTTGTAGTTACTGAAGGATTTTGAGCTGGCCATTATTTTGAAATGGCCAAAATAATGGTTTAGGAAGATTAATATGTTGCCTACACCTAGAATTGTGTTTGAGGGGTAGGGAACTGACTAGAAACAGGAAACTAGGTAGGCACCTACTATGAGATAATGAATGTCTATATTGCAGACAAAACAGGAAAGAGGAAACGTTTCCAAGTATGCACAATGCAAAAAGCAGTTAGATAGCTCTTTGTCTCTTACTCCGTCTCTCCCCCAACATCCATTAAACCTTTTCGAGACCATCACAGTTACTGTGGATTTTGCCTCTCATAAGTAAAGGGAATGCTAATTTATTCTCAGTCCCCTTAACTGTAACAAATGGCTTCTCTTTTGTTTCCTTTGTATGTATAGTGAACTTCGAGCTGGAAAATCACTACCTAGTGCTCTCTCTACCTAGTACTCTCTCTCTCTCTCTCTCTCTCTCTCTCTCTCTCTCCCTCTCTCTTTCTCCCTCTCCCTCTCTCTCTCTCTCTCTCTCTCTCTCTCTCTCTCTCTCTCTCTCTCACACACACACACACACACCCATAACAACATAAAAATGTTTAAAAGGAACATCCCATGTGCCAAATATACAAAATAGAGTGTCACAAAGCAGCAATATCCAACTAGGTGATCTAATTGATTCTGATTAGCTAGAAAACTAAAACT